ATATATATATATTTTGGTACTGGAGATTTAGCTGAGCAGAGCTCTATCACTGAGCTATATCCCAGCCTTTTTTGAGACAGGGGTCTAAGTTGCTCAGACTGGTCTTGAATGTACAATATGCCTGCTCAGCCTTTCCCATAACTGGGATTGCAGGTGTGCAACACCATGCCCAGCTAGTATACTTTTTAGTGTTTAAAAAGATTGAAAATATTTAAGAATCTTCTGAGAGAATCACTGAGCTATCATTTTAGTTTTAAAAATAATATAGGTGACTTTAAAAAGTTCACACAATGGACAAAAACTAAAGATGTCACTTACTTTTTCAGTAATAAAAATTAAAGCAGGATGCCTAAATACCATGAAAAACTTTGCCCACCTAAAAAAATTACAAAATAAAATAATCAGTTAAAACATATTATGCATAAAATTTAAGAAAATATCTATTATTTTATTATCTTTTGGAGTCAGAAAGGCACCAAAGAATTCCTAATGCAATGTTTCAAAATATGTATCACAGGTCATAAATAGACATTTATGTCAAATGCATCTCTGGATTAAACGCAGGCTGAACTTCCCAGATGACAATCTTTTTTTTTTTTTTGTACTGGGAACAGAACCCAGGGCCACTCTTCCTTTGAGCTACTTCCCCAGCCCTTTTWAATTTATTTTATGTTAAGACAGAGTCTCGCCAAGTTGCTTAGGGACTCATTGAAAGTAGCTGAGTCTCAAACTTGTAATCCTCCTCACTCTCCTGAATTGCTGGATGACAGGTGTGCTACCATACCTGGCCCCCAAGTGACAATGTGAATTGTAAAGTTTCAAGAAAGAGATGACAGTATGGAGGACTTTCCAAACTTAAATCAACTTCCCCCATCCCCTTTTCTTCAGTATTACTTTTGGGACTAGTGTTCTGAGGAAAACATTAGGATGGATGTTATTTGTCTTTTTCAAGTAATGGAGGGAACTAAGCCACAGGGAAGCTAAATAGGGCTCATAACCAAAGATGGCTAGGTAGTCTGTGGTACCCAAAGATCTTCCCCAAACACAGATGCTCACACCTCAAAGGCATGCAGTCTAAAAATCAAGCTGGTCATTGTTCACTTACTAAGAAAAAGTCTTTGCTTTGAGTAGAAATTTAGTTTCCACCAGGTGGACCTGGAAAAGCAGCAAGTCAACTGAACAGGAAATGTGATGAAATAATGAGGATCAGAGAGATGTGAAATCAAGAAATGTCCTTCTATCACTTGGGCGAGTCATTTTTCCAGTTTTATTCCAGAATCTGGGAAAGCAGAGGTCTTAAAGCACTATCGTGTGCATGTATGAATATGTAGCAACAAATTCCATCATTACATAAAACTAGAATGCACCAATAAAAAAAAGTGAAAAAAAWTTCAAAAAAAATAAAAGAGCACTATCATGACTTCACTTAAGAAGCTGTACTTTCCTCCAGAGGAAAAGGTTATAACCTGGAAGTCAAGGAATATGAAGCAAAAAGATTTTGGTCTTTGGGGATTATTCATTTCATATTCAAATAACTGACTATCCAAGTTCTCTTGTCATTAGAACTAGATGCATATGACTATGGTTTCCTCAATCATCTATCATGCTACAGGATTTTGGGGAAGTTAGTTTGGTCAGTGTCTTATAAATTTTTTTTTTTTTCCCTTTTGTGGTGCTGAGGACCAAACCCAAAGCTTAGTGCATACTAGGCAAGTGCTCTACCAATGAGCTCTAACCACAGCCCTAGGTTACTTTTATTATGTTTATAACCAAAAATGCTTTTTTGAACATGGCAAAGAATGTAATAAAAAAAATGCTCAATGCATTTCCATTTTGGTAAAAAAATTCATTTTTAAGTATAACTTACTTAATCACTTCTCCATCAGAGATAACAGTTTCAATTTTCTGTTGGGGCTCTGCAAGCAAGGCCTCTAAACCACGAACAGCACCTTCTTTGAACTGCACTACTGGTTCTGTCCCTTGTATTGAGTGTATCCTATATACCTCAGCTGACAACTAGAAAAACATCAAGAACATTTCAATTTTTATTCTAAAGCAATTTACACCTGATGTAGTAGGATAAAACATTATTATTATTCTTAAGCTACTGGTTTTCATTTTGATTTAATTTTGTTTTATGACTATGTATAATTCTCATATCAAGTCTATTCAAACACACAATCYGAAGTCTAATTTCTCTGCTCTTATTCTTTCTTTTTAATATTTTTATTTTATTAATATTACAGATGGATGCAATATCTTCATTTTGTTCATTCATTGTTTAAAAATTTATTTATTTATTTATTTTTAGTTATTGATGGACCTTTATTTTTATTTATTTTTATGTGGTGCTGAGGATCGAACCCAGTGCCTCGCATGTGCAAGGCAAGCGCTCTGGCACTGAGTCACAACCCAGCCCGCTATGCTCTTATTTTTTTCTACCCCATCACCTTCTCTCTTCCATAAGTAACCATTTGTAATCATTTTTGGCTTACCCATTATGAATACAGGATGTTGGACTAAAATCTGAGTCTACCAAAACCAAAGGTGAAAGAAGATACAAACACAGTTTGGTGTTAAAGACTGATGCTCCAATTATGACTATAGCCTGAAACCCCAAGAAAATTTAATATCCATATATTAGGTAAAAAAGACCCACTGAGTAAAACTCAAAATCATTTTAGTGCAAAGTAAATGGAAAAAGTAGAGTCAGGGGACAGCACAACTAGCTGAACAGAAGTTTTAAGGTCAAGGCAACAAAGGCATTACATCTTAAGTAGCCCTATTGTAAGCCACTCTAAAAAACTGTCAATTATATTTATATTAAACTTTTGGAATTGGAAGGAAGTTTTGAGATCAACCTCATTTGAAAGCCTCATTTTATCAGTAAGAAAACTTAACATACTTTAATTCATTGGTATAAAAGATACATATATAGTMGTTTTTAAAAAATATTTATTTATTTTTTAGTTACAGATAGACACAATATGTTTATTTTATTTTATGTGGTGCTGAGGATAAGATCCAGTGCCTCACACATGCTAGGCGAGTGCACTACCTCAGAGCCACAACCCCAGCCCTCTAGTCATGGTTTTGTTTTTTTTTTTACAGGTCACTATTAAAGGTCTATTCTATCTATTCTAATAAAGGACACAGGAAGTTTACTTGTTTTCATGAAAGACACACCCCAAACATCCAAAATCAGGGAAATAAGTATAATCACTCATGAATTAAATTATCAATCCCACGGGATAATAAAGTTTATATTTTCTAACCTATAACATGAGTTGGAGTATGTTATCAAAACATAGATAACAAAAATGAAAAACCAATTGCAACCTTAGGCTTACTTTCTTAGAGGCATTAATATAAATAATATAAACTATATTATGAAGATTCTATGTCACCAATAAGCTAAGTAAATATTTTGGAAAATCCAAAGACTTACTGTGGCTTTAAACACTTTATCCAGGTTTACATCTTCATTATTCCATATTCTCAAAACCTTAAATCAAAGCATACAGTTAAAAAGTATCCCATTCTCTATTTACATATAATAACCACAAATAGTATATCAATATTTGACTTGTGTTGTATRTATTATTATATGTAAGTTTTTAAACTCACCTTATTATCATGTACAACAATATACTCGCCAGTCTGAAAGTTGMACACAGCTGGACATGTTATAACTTGACCTTGTTTCACTGACCAGCTGCCCAAGGGTTTCTGATCTGAAACCTAATGAAAGTAAGATAAAAAATAATATTCAAGAAGTTATTTTTCAGGGGCTGGGGATGTGGCTCAAGTGGTAGCGCGCTTGCCTGGCATGCGTGCGACCCGGGTTCAATCCTCAGCACCACATACAAACAAAGATGTTGTGTCCGCCAAAATCTAAAGAATAAATACTAAAAAAAAAAAAAAAAAAAAAAAAAGAAGTTATTTTTCAGACATTAAAAACAATTAGACTTTCAAAAAATAAGCCATTGTAGTGACAATATTTGACAAATTTCTTTTTAAAAAATATTTATTTTTTAGGTTTTTTTTTTTTTTAGATGGACACAATATCTTTATTTTTATGTGGTGCTGAGAATCAAACCCAGTGCCTCACATGTGCTAGGCCAGCGTGCTACCACTTGAGCCATATCCTCAGCCCCTGACAAATTTCTTAAGATAAAAAAAATAAGCAGTCACAGACAAATACTGTAGGATTTCACTCATATGAAGTATCTAATGATAACTGATAAAGACAGAGGAATGATGGTTGCCAGGGGCTGGTATAATGAATGGAGGGATAAAATTATTATAGGTACAGAGTTTGTTTTTTTTGTACTGTGGATTGAACTCTGGGACACTTTTACCACTGAGGTACATCCCCAGCCCTTTTTATTTTTTGAGACAGGGTCTCACTTTGCTTAAGGCCTTGCTACATTGTTCAGACAGGCCTTGAACTTTCAATCCTTCTGCTTCAGCCTCCCTAGTCCCAGGGACTACAGGCATGCATCAYCCTGCCAGGTGAGATGATAAATTTTGTCTTTTACCACGATTAAAAATTAAATGAAAACATAAAATAACTACATTACTAAAGTGAAAAATAAAGTACATTAACACTGCTAATTACTACTAATTAACATTTACATTTAAAATTTTATTTCACTATGGGTCTAAACAGGGACATCTTAAATTAAGCAGGGATCACTAGAATCAGGTCCATTCAATTCCGACCAGCCAATACAAATTCACTGGACAGTTGAGTTAAAGACCAACAGAGTAACCAAATGCGTCTAAACAAGCAGTACAGGGAATTGTTGTCACCCTATCCCCAAACTTCACAGCAGACAGCTAACTTTTAAATGACAGGGAAAATTATGTTCAGCAGCCTACATAAAAACAACTACTTTCTACAAACCACCCAAACCAAGGTTAGGTGTGCTGCCAATCAGGGAAAAAAGGGGGTGGGACCTGCGACTTCCAGGGACTCTTCTCTGGGATCAGTAGCGTGAACCAGTTGCCCACATACAAACTACTCGAAATTAAGATTCTTACCAGGCTACCAAGAAAGCTAGGCCTCTTCAATGGCCAAAGAACCCCTCATCCCAAGGAATGGGGATGAAGCGGACAGACACAGGCCTAATTCGTGTCCCAGCCTGTCAATGTCCTCATCTGACGCCCAATCGCCCCAGGACCCCTCTGCGGGCAGCAGGGTGACAGGCTCCCCAGGAGGGAATCTTGGCGGGGACACCTCCGGGAGACTCGCAGGGAAAACACAGGTTCCTTTCCTTTCCCCGTGTCTCCCACGTGCACTGAGACGCTCCRCCACCAGCAACTCGGAAATTATGCCTTTCTCTACCAAAAAACCCAGTCCAGCCAGATTCTTGACCTCGCTCGGGGTCCCAGGCAGGCTGACCGGGTCTCCGCTCCCGCGCTTCCCAATCTTTTTTGAAACCGAGAAACCCGAACTTAAGGCTTCCTGCTCAGAAAGGGGCGAGACAGCAGCCGGGGCGCTCCTGTCGCCCTCACCTTATACAGGATGACGGTCCTGCTGCTGTACGTCACTAGAAACTGGTCAGTTTTGTCGCTCGGCTCCACACCTAGAACTCCATTGGGCCCGGCGCCCAGGGCTCCCACGGACAACGTGAATTCTTCTTCCAGGGCTGCCATTTTGGTCAAACCTAAGGACGGCCGCGCATCCCTCCCGGCAGGCCTCGCGCTTTCTCTCGCGACACCGAAAGGGGCTAAAGGGGCGGGCGCTCACCAAACCTGAAATCGGCTCGCGCGGTCTGCGACCCCTAGCGGGCCAAACCGGAGTTCCGAGCCGAATGACGCCAGGTGGGCGGGGCCTGGGCTTTGCGCCTGGGCCCGCCCCCCGGGGACACGCCCCCTCGGGTCCCGGATGTGCTCTAGGCGCGGGTAGTCTTGCCTATTGGGTATTGAATCAGCTGGCGCCAGTGGGCTTGTGAAGACMGGAGGAGTTTAGAAAGTGGCTGAACGCGAATAAACTAGATTAAGAAAGAAAACTCTTAAGTGAACTCTTAATAGGTGCTGTTCCTGATTGCCTCAGGATTGTCCAGTCCTTGCAGGACTCCGGGTTGGCTGTATCTCAGCTTGTTCCCCTTGGCAGGGGCGGAGAAGTCTCCCCACTTTTAAAAACTATTTAATGAAAAAAGTGAAGTTGAAAGGCCCCTGGGCAAATTTTGTTWTTTATTTATTTATTTGTTTATTGGAATTTTTTTTCTTTTTTATTGGTGTATTATAATTATGCATAATTCTGGAATTTGTTGTTACATATTCGTACRTGCACACAATATATAATTTGATTCCTTTCGTCGTCACCCAGTACTTCCCTTTTCTCTCCCTTCCTCCCTCACCCTGGTCCCCTTCCTCTACTGGTCTCCCTTCTGTTTTTTATRAGATCCCATCCYCCTGCCTCTTTTTCCCCCTTTCTCCTCTCTGGCTTCCACGTATGAGAAAAAACATACACTTCTTGATTTCTGAGTTTGGCTGCTTTTACTCAGCATGATCTCCAGTTCCATCCATTTACCAGCAAATGACATAATTTCATTCTTCATTATGGCTGAATAAAATTCCTTTGTTGGGGGGCCTGGGGTTGTGGCTCAGTGGTAGAGCCTTTGCCTAGCTTGTGTGAGGCACTGGGTTTGAGTCTCAGCACCCCATACAAGCAAATAAATAAAGATCCATCAATAACTAATAAAAATATTTTTAAAATCCCATCATGTACATATATCACATTCTTTTATCCATTCATCTGTTGACAGACACCGAGGCTGATTCAATAATTTGGTTATGTGAATTCTGCCAATATAAACAGAGGTCTGCGTGTATTACTAGAATATGCTGACGTTAATTCTTTAGAATAAATACCAAGGAGTTGTATAGCTGAGTCATATTGTGGTTCCATTCCTAGTCTTTCGGGAAATCTTCATACTGATTTACATAGTGGTTGTACTAATTTACAGTCCCACCAACAGTCTAAGGGTTCTGGTTTCCCTACATCCTCTCTAGCATTTATTGTTATTTGCATACTTTTTTTTTTTTTTTTAAAGAGAGAGTAAGAGAGAGAGAGAGGGAGAGAGAGAGAATTTTTAATATTTATTTTTTAGTTCTCAGCAGACACAACATCTTTGTTGGTATGTGGTGCTGAGGATTGAACCTGGGCCGCACGCATGCCAGGCGAGCGCTACCGCTTGAGCCACATCCCCAGCCCTATTTGTATACTTAATGGCTCCCATCCTAACTGGAGAAAGATGAAATCTTGGTGTAGTTTTGACTTGCATTTCTCTAATTGCTAAAGATATAGAATTTTTTTCATAAATTTTTTGGCCATTTATATTTATTTCTTCTTTTGAGAAGTGTCTAATTCTTTTGCCTGTTTATTGATTGAGCTATTTGTTTTTTGTGGTGGTAAGTTTTTTTTTTTTTTAGTGTTTTAATATATTCTGAACATTACTCCTCTGTAAGAAGTATAACTAGCAAATATTTCCTCTCATTCTCTAGATTCTGTCTTCACAGATATAACCTTGTTTGCTATGCTGTGATGCCCTGGGCAAGTTTTGGCCAGGAGAAATTTGTGTTTTTAAGATACGCTTGGGTGTGTCCAAAAACAAAGAAACATGCTAAGGTATGTGTGGGTAATTCAATCAATTATGTAAAAAATAAAAACAGGAAAAATAGGGCTGGGGCTGTAGCTCAGTGGCAGAGCGCTTGCCTTGCATGTGTGAGGCACTGGGTTCAATCCTCGGCACCAGATAAAAATAAACAAAATAAAGTCATGCTGTCCATCTACAACTACAAAAAAAAAAATGTTTTTTTTTTAAAGTAGAAGAAAAAATAGATAGTAACCGGTGGGGCACATCTGTAATCCCAGCAACTTCAGATTATTTTGAAACAGGGTTTCATAAATTGCCCAGACTGGCCTCAAACTTGCACTTGTGATTCTCCTGCCTCAGCTTCCCGAGTTGACATTATAGAAGCTTGCCACTGCGCACAGCCAAGTAGTTTATTTTTTTTTTTAAGTGACCAAGGAATTTGATGTTGAAATTTGTGGTCCCTTTGTTAGTGGGAGAAGCGATTCTTCCTGCATTGAGATTCAGCACAGACATCGTGGTCTCTGTGAAATCTTCCTTTTCCTCCCATCACAATCAGCCCCTCTATTGAACCTATTTGGTACATTCTTCCCTTATTTGGGGGTTCAGCCTAGTATCTTTCTCCTCCACAAGTCTTCCTTGACTCTCTGAGACAATTTGATCCCTGACTTTGGAAACCAGTGCTATTGCAACATGTATCATCTGGTTCTGGTACTGATGATAGCATTGGAATTATGCTTTCCTTCTCCAGCTTGAAGACACTGAAGCAGGGGTTATCAAATTTAGTGATTCAGGACTCCTTTACAGTCTTTTTTTTTTCTTTTGTACTGAAGATTGAAACCCCGAGGTACTTTACCACTGAGCTACATTCCAGTCCTGCTTATTATTTATTTATTTATGGTGGTGCTGGGGATTGAACCCAGGACCTTGTGCAGCATTAGGCAAGCACTCTACCAACTGAGCTATATCTCCAGCTCCCCTTTTTATTTTTCATTTTTAGACAAGATCTCACTAGGCTGCTTAGGGCCTCATTAAATTGCTGAGGCTGGCCTTGAACTTGAGATCCTCCTGCCTCAACCTCTTGAGTCCCTAGGATTACAGGTGTGAGCCACCAAGCTGAGCTCTTAGAAATTATTGGGTTATTTTCATGGGTTGTATCTCTAGATATTTACTGTATTACAAATTAAGACTAGAACAAGAGCATATATTGATTATAAAATAATAAACTCACTACATGTTAACATAAACACCACTTTTATTAATGAAAAATACTTTTAAAAACAATGTAGTGTGAAGGGTAGCATTATTTTACATTTTAAAAAACTCTCTTCAATGTCTTGACTTAAAAAAGATAACCAGATTCTCTCATCTGCTTGTGCATTCAATCCATCTTGGTATTGTGTTGGGTAGCTTCTGGATAGTTCCATGGCACACAGGAAAAGGCAAATAACATCTTAACATTGTTATGAAAACAGCTTGTTGGACTGGGGTTGTGGCTCAGCAGTAGAGCACTGACTGACCTAGCATGTATGAGGCCTGGGTTCGATTCTCAGCACCACATAAAAATAAATAAAACAAAGATATTGTGTCCAGCTACAACTAAAAAAAAAAAAAAAAAAAAAAAAAAAACAGCTTGTCTCTGTGGACCCTCTGAAAGCATCTCTGCATTCCCAGAGGTTCCTGTACAGTTTGAGAAGTTCTATACAAATACTTCCACTGAAGAGTAGTGCAGGAATCAAGGTAACCTACCTGGGAAGGAAGGGTTCAAAGCTCCTTAGTTTGCAAAAGAGGTAAACTGCAAACTTTCTTGAATCTTTGACCCTCGGTCAGGTGCAAGATCCCTGAAGGAGTCTAGTGGAAAGAAGAAGTGGGAGGGCTCCCACCCAAGAAGTGAAGGCTGAGTCCCCTCCTCTGATGCTTAGGAAATCTTAGGACAAGGAAAAGAACAGCTGTGTGAAGTTTGCAACAGAATATCTTATGTTTGCTAAGAACTGGAGCCACCCTTGATTCATCTCTAGCCCTGGAAAAGGTTATAGGGGTAAATTCAAAAATTTTTCCTTTCCTTCTTTCTTTGCCCCATTCATATTCATTCTTTCCCTCTCACCTCAATAGCTGTTAGGGGCTGAATTATCTTCCTCTCCTGCAAATTCGTATGTCGAAACTCTAACCCCCAGTACCTTAGAACCTGACTGTATTTGGAGTCAGGGACATTAAAGAAGTGATTAAGGTAAATGAGGTCCTTAGGTGAGCCCTAAGGCAATATGGTTGGTTTTGTTATAATGAAAGATTGGGGAGAAGGCAGCAGGTCCAAGCCAAGGAGAGAAGCCTCAGGAGAAACAAACCCCATGAGGTCTTGATCTCAGACTCTCAGCCTTCAGAAAATAAATGCTTGTGTTTTAAGCCACCTGGTCTGTGGCACTTTGTTTTGGCACCTGGACACGCTAATACAATAGGTGACACATTCGCAACATCCCGGACATGAAAAATGGTGCCCAGCACCTTCCTACCCCTATCTCTAGCCACCCTGTTCTCCCTGGAGAGGACAATTTAAATAGGTGTCGCACATGCACAAATCATATATGTGTGTATGTTTTTCTGGGCCTTCCCTTTTGGTAAATGGCAGCATGGCAGATCCATTGTTCTGTTCTTTGCTTTATTTATTTACTTATTTTGGGTCTTGAGGCCCAGCTTTCACAGCCCGTATTTGTACTGAAAACCAAGATCAAGGGAGCTTTTGCTTTTCTGCTCCACAGGAAATTTCTGTCCTCCCTGGACTTGCCTTAGTGCTGTTTGCTTTTTTTTTTTTTTTTCACTTTATGGACTGTAAGAGACACGTGAATGACGTATGTAGATCATTCCATCCCAATGTGAAGAATTTTCTCATCCTGCTTTACTCATGACTAATAGTAGGGAATTGATTTTTGATAGTTTTTGGATTTCATGAAATATTCAGGTTAGATATTGATTAGGTGGTGGGTTCAGGAAGATGTGAGTTGTTTTGATGCTTCACAACAAAAGGAGAAAAAAATAAAGCTCAGAGGGGAAAAGTAAAGTATCTGTGAGTGAATGGACAGTATGT